CAGTGACGTTACAGGGCCATGAAACAAGGTGGCTGAGGCTCCCGGCAAAGTCCAATATAAGTGTTGTTTATCGAGGAATGATGTCCTTGGGAGCACTCAGCTCCACAGCTGCATGGAAACAGGAGGGGGTGAGGTGAAAAAGAGCGTTGTGTTTACATATCTTCAAGGAGATTAGAAATATGCAGCCCTTCCAAGGCCACATGGGGAAAGCCAATTCAGAAACAGAATGTCTTAGGTCGGGAAGATTATAAATTTCAATCTTCCCTAAAGTCTCTCCGATACATCTCAGTTCCCAATCATCCAAATTAGTTTGGTCGTTCCACTGAGCCGAAACTAGTAACTTCTCCAAGATCGTTTCCATCCCACTAGTGAGTGGGCTGGGCTGCGAGTCTCAGCAAGACTCACATCCAACTTGCATCTCTGTCCACACCAACAGTCTGAATGTTCGCTAGTTCAGCCAAGTCTGTCATAAATTTGTCGATAAGCCAGGAATCCACAAGCTCCAAACAGCAGAAATCTTGTTATCATGAATAAATCCAGGGAGAATCCTGCCGGTTGGGTCCCCGCAGGACAAGAGGGCTCTCCTGTGCCCAGTCTTCTCGTCGAGAAAATTTTATCATTTGCATTGAGAGACCAGTTGACTAGATCCATAATTTGTAGATTTGGATGATGTGCAAAGAAAGGCTCCAAAAATATAGAAAAATCAAAATCTAAAAAAGCCTCAACTAGTTAACAAATATTCAGAAGTGCAAGCATTTTAATAATTGCTGGTCCACTTTTTATTTGCAGGGATGTTGGATGTTGAATTTGGTAAAAAGCTAAACTGTTAACTAAGACAGAGTTTCAATTCAAATGAGTTTTCTTGTCAGTTTTTCCCAACTTAGAATTTGATATTCCTTCTTCAGAGTATAAATACAACACAACAACACCTCATGAGTTTTGGCTGTTTTGCCAGATGTATGCTGAATTCTTCTTTGGTTTGGCTGCCTGTGAGGGATTTTAACTTGGATTAATAATTTTGTAACCTGCTTAGTTAGTTTATATGTGGGTCCTTCCATCACCTTCACAACCAATCGTATGACCAATTAAGGATGCTTCCCACAATCATATTTCACTCCTTCATGAATTTAACAAAACTGATCATCAAAGACACCATTTTTAGGCTGAATAAAGTTTAAAACAGGGTTAAAGTTAATAATTGCTATGTATCACTTTGTCAGCCACAACATACCCTTTGTATCTTTATTCCATACATGCTGTTCAGTAACTGTTAAGTAAATTCATAAATATGATGGTTTCCTGGCACCTGGAGCTCCTATATCTGTTGTACATGTGTGGTCAACATATAGTTTGCATGCAAATAATTCAGATAAACGAGATGACATTCCTCATTTGACCATATACAGTTCCCAGCACATAGTTGTAAAGATAGTTAGGTAGTTGGGCTCAGTGGGGTCCTAGTGGACCCCGCCGAAGCGAAAATGACATAGCTGATGCTGACCCTGGGGGTGGTAGCTGAGGGGGTCTCAGTGGATACCGCCGAGGCAAAAACTAATCAGAAGCTCGCACATCGCAAACAACAAAAACAATGTACCATGTGTTTTGAAAATTTTTATAGGTTGTTGAAGCATTTACAGCAAATTCAAAAGTGTTACTTTTTCAGAGTTTGAATATGCAGAGTTGGGTTTTTTTACACTGTGGAGTTAATTAGTAATTAGAATTGCTTCCAGTGTTGGGACAGCATCACCTATTGATGACAAGTTAGTTTTGCAGTGTTGGTGAAAAGTTTAACCAACTCTCACGGTGTGTACTTGTGATTGAGTCCCCACGGTTTGCATTTTACGTAGCATGCATATATGCACGTCGGGTGAGTGTCTGTTGTGACGTACTATGAATGCGCATGTTTCAAACAAGCAGGCAGCGGTTGTTTTTCGGCGGGATTAACCAGTTGGTGGACAGCGGTGTAAGACTCGTCTTTCCGTACAACAAAAAACACCTGTAGGCAGTTTTGTTTGTACATATAATTTTGACCAAATGCTAGCGCCAGTTTAATAAATGTGCCACTAGAGATGCTAAATGTCGACTTAAGGAAGATAAACAAATTTATCGGATCTAGTAGATGTTTTTTTTTTTACTAAGGCAGTTAGATATTATTTTCACTATTTTTCATCAAAAACTGCTCTTTCAGTTCCCTCCATGTGTTCCCTCTGTTTGCCCTTCTGTCTCTCTCTCTCTCCGGTTGCTGTTGAAATCAAGCACCAGCTGCTAACAGTTCCCCCATTACTGCTTAAAGCCTTTACCCATTCCAATGTAGACAATTTAAATGCGAAAATTTTAAAGGAGACTGCCTTTCAGCTTTCATTATGGATGGGCAAACATGGCATAGCTGCAGCTAGGGTTGCCATCCGTCCCTTAAACTACGGAATCGTCCCTGTTTGGCTGTTAAATGTTGCGTCACGGGACGCGATTTGTTCCGTATTTCTATAAATGTTCGATAGACATGCCTAACACACACATATCAACACTAAGTGTAACAATAATGACCAAAATAAGACACAGGAAATATTGAGAAGCGCATTACAAACCTTTGGTAGAAATGGGGCGTTTAATTTTAGTCTCCATTACATACAGAACAGTGAAAACTAAAGAGAATGTGATGTTGGAGCGGGCAGACGTAACATCTGTCCACTTCAGAGAAGCAAAACCACACGAAAAAATCTTCATAAAAGCACACATGATAAAACAAAAAAGTTAAATTGATCGGTTTGAATCAATTTAAAACCGATCATTGGTTTGAAATTTATCTGACCGGTCAGTTGGATCGGTGGGATCCAATTGATCGATGAACTAGTGCAGATTTCTCTGTAGATGCGAACCAGGAGGAATTTGTGAGGCTGTGCATTCAGACCCCAGCGGGTGAAGTGATTTAATTTAAGTGGAGTCGTTTAATTTAATTTATTATAAGTTATTGGGGCCAGAGTCAGTGGTTTTTGTCACTATGGAGAAAAAGTTAGATGCGTTTATCTGCTCTATGTGTGATGGGATCTGGATTCATGGTTCAAATAGGTGAATAAAAATAAATAATAAAAATGTGGCTGAATAGCCTATGTAAATATGATTATAAAACTAGAACATGACCGATTTTTTTTTTTTAATGCTGTCGGTCAAAATGACGGAGAACAAAAACCTCTGATACCAGCCCATACATTGCTGGCTTCTGACATGAAGTGGATCTCTGTGCCCATTATTGATCCACCAATGGCACCGACTTGTCTGTTTAGACTCACTCTCATTTCATTCTTCAGACCTTTGCAAAATCTGAAACTCTATCTTTCTTGGCCCAATCTAGATGCTAGCTGGGTTCTGAAATATGACAAAACTGAAAGATAATGGGTTCCGGGTAGTTTCACACTTTATTCTTTTCAAAAAGTTAATATGGTGTTTGTTTGTTTTTTGCACCTTACTGATAATTACTTCCACTTGGGAATTTGTTAAAAATCATCCAAACAAGTTTAGAGGCAGTTACAGGGGAAAGTACCTTAAAGTTTGTGGTGTGATTCTGGTCTTTCCAGCACAGCCATCCACCCAGGGAAGGTCCAGGCCGTACCAGGGAGTTCGTGTCCGGGATCCAGTTAAGGAGCTGCTGAGGAGGAAGAGGAGCCTGGAGCATCACAGCACCAAGACGACACATTTCACAGCTGTGAGGACACCATCACACATGAAACTGACAGTCGCAAACTGCAAAGGTGTTCTGAATATTTCAGACATCTTCCTGGTTCAGAACACAGGAATCAGATTGATGACATCAAGTTTTTCACACATAGCAAATGTGTGAAAAACTCATTTCTTTAACATCTAAAACACAATTTCTCATTTGTGGTGTTTCCATTAAATAAGAAATGCAATTAAAATCACACATGAATAAGTTTGTTCGTGAGATAAGTAATTAAAAAACATGCAGTTCCATCATCGTCCTACCACTTCCTGTCGACTGCTTTGTCTTTTCCACTAATTTCAACATCCGGGTGTTGGATGTTGGTCACCTGAATGTTGCCACTAAACTGTTTCCATTGCAGTTTTGCAGAACACACCAAGATCGATATGGTCAAAGAAAAACCCGTCATCCTAGCACAAAAACCTTTTATCAAAAAACAAGTGTTTTTTCGAAATTGGCGTACTTGCATTAAGACAGTTTATTTTCATAACTCCAACTGCACAGTTTTAAAGTCACTGGAAAACCAGCTTCACACAGCCGATAACTGACTGAAGAAGAGGACAACAGGAACTAGTAGTCCTGTATACCTGCTCCTACGTTGGAGCAGGTATACAGCTGAAACCTGCAGAACACTGGGCCTTAAGAACGAGTGCTGTACACTACTGACATCACACATTCTGCATTCCTCCACCTTTGTTTTGTTGACGTTTGTTGAGTTATACATATCATTCATCATAAAGATTTCCTAGAAGGTTTTACTCCTACAGTAAAATAAGCAGTATCCCATGATTTCATCTTTCACTTAAATTTGATGTATGACATTTATTGCAGTAACAAAAAACATAGAACCATGACTCAATTTGGTGCTGTTACACAACTCAAACAGCTCTAATCCTGGGATATTTTCTGCATGGACTCAGTAGAACACTTAAAATAACGTCATTTATTATTTAAAATCACATCCATACACCAACATATCCACTGGCATATTGTTTAGGACAGTGTTTTTCAACCCTGGTCCTCAAGGGACACTGCCCTGCATGTTTTAGGTATTTTGCTGCTTCACACACATGATTTCAATTGATGGCTGATTAACAAGCTTTTTCTGAACTGCAATCATTTAAATGGGATGTGTTAAAGCAGGGAAACATCTAAAACATGCAGGGCAGTGTGCCTTGAGGACCAGGGTTGGGAAACACTGGTTTAGGAGATTTAGTTTTCTTAATGTTGCTTTTTAATCACACACTTGTGACAGCACTCTTATCTCAGGAATGTCATGATGGATTGCACCAATTATTTTCATGATTTCTGCACTAGGAAGGCCAACAAAGATATCAAAGTCTCCTGTTAGTTTGCAAAAACAAACTAAGCAGAAAATACCAATTTGCCAAACATATATGGTTCTGTATGGGACCATAATTTGTCTTTTGACAAATTATGTGTGGCACTTGAAATGTGAAAGAAGGAACCCCTGTGGGCTGATGTGGTTGTGAGTACTCGGAGGGGGATTTTGTCCTTATATGTTCCAGGTGTTTTTCCATGACAGTTACAGCCATTCTCTGTATGGCTCCAGGGCTGGGCATGCAGCCCTATGCAAAATAACTCAGACTATTGCCAAAGAGCCCTCCTACTTAGCTTTTTTTTAACACTTATCACAATTACAAACACATGGCAACACACACACACACACACACACACACACACACAGTTGTCAGAAAGATACCGGTTCACAACTGATTAGGTGTGGTACAATTCTAACTCTGAATTTTACATCCACTCATCATTCACCAAGTCATTAAAAAATCTAAGGTTTAAATGTTTTTCCAATGTTTTTTCTCATTGCCTGATTATGTCACGTTGCACTGAGGTTAAAGTGGATCCATATGCAGAGAGACTGAGGCATGAAGTTAATATTGAAGTTTTTAATAAAAAAAATGATGAAACATGATTTAACAAGATTTAATAGGAAGAGCCAAAGGAGGATTGAGAGAGGTGATTCAATACTGGGATTGTGAATGCTGGACCTATAGAGCGAGGTTATTGTCTGACAGGTTGCAGGTGTGAGGGCAGAGAGAGAGAAAATGGCAAAGGAGGCGAGGGAAAGTACATGGCAGGTTAGCTAGGAAAATGAAACTAATACTAAAAAGAAACTAGACCTATGAAACTAGACTAACAAAGAATAACTAGACACAAGAAATAAACATGATAAACTAGAATCACTAAGGAAGGACTGAACTAAAGTTAAACAGAAAGATGACTGATCTAATGAAAGAAACTGCATTACTGCATCACTCGATGCGCCATGACGGACGTCAGAAAAGAGTGACGGGAGTATTGAGTAGAGAGAATGTAATTGTTTTACCAAGCTGTTTTTGCGAATATATTCATGAATTCTACTTGTTCGTTCCTGACATGTTGATCAGGAACGAACTGGTGGGCTGGTGATCCCAACGAGTTGTGCAGCTCCGCTCCCAGCAGGGAAAGTCGCGTTCGACCTTGTCTGAATTCACTCCACACGATCTATATCAGTATGTCAAGAACGGTGTTTCCCCTTACTCTGGAGCAGGGGCGCCGCCAGAAATCTTGGGCCCCCTGACAAAAAATTTGTTTGGGCCCCCCGCGTAGCTACTGTTACAATTTTTTACTCCATTCAGTAACACTTTATTTGAAGGGGGTTGAATAAGACTGTCA